TTTTTTTTAATATTTTTATATATATATGTGTGTGTGTGTGTATATATACGTACAGTACGTGTGTGTGTATATATGTACATAAATGATTTTTTGACAGATCATCTGTCTCATGTACTGCTGTGTGAATATTGTGACACTTTCAACAAATATAAAAAATGTTATTTTTTGTAAAAGTTACCAACTACAGCTAGGGTTGGGTATCGTTTGAATTTTAGCGATTCCGATTCTGCTTTCCAATTCCGGTTCCTAACGATTCTCGATTCCGATTCTTTGAGGGGCGGGGTCAAAAAATGTCAAATGCTTATTTCACACAATTTTTATTTTTATACACCTTTCCACAAATTGACTCACATTCAGTCAGTCATTCACATTCTGCAGGAAACTAGCAGGTATAAAAAACAGAATAGAAACAGTTCAAGAAAATAAGCATATCTCAAGCCTTCTCAGTCAGTATACGTGAACGTTCAGCACAGATTGTGTTTCCTGCAGTGGAGAAAACTCGTTCACTTGGTGTAGAGGAGGCCTGTACACATAAAAATGAAAAGGCCATGTCTGACGAACAAGGATACGTCGTTTGCATGGTCCACCACCAAGCAGCAGGGTCATCAGATGTAACGATGGGTGGCATATCCTTGTACATCTGCAACTCCGTCCTGGATGGATATGGAGGTCTGCAGTGATGTCATCTTTACAGCATCTTCGTCAGCAAAAAGCTCCTCCAGTGGAGTCATCCTCACAGTTTTGCAGGGAGGTGGCTGCAAAACAAATAACGAACAAGCTTATCCAAAAAAGTTCCAGCATCCATAGATAATAAATAAGATTCAGAATCTATCAAATATAATTTCTGCTATCATATGCTTACATGCTCCTCTTCCTCACTCTCCACTCCTTGCTTGTCGCCCTGGCTCCTCTCACCATCTCCTCCACAATCATGCACTGTTAACTACAGACAACATTTGGCATTTAGATAAAACACTGTAATGACTGAGGAGAGACAGTGTTTGTGCATGAATGACATATCACCTGTTCAGTATCGATCAACTTTCCAGCCAGGAGACTCTCCTTGATACGATCCCAGACAGAGGCATTGTCAGACATCTTCTGGGTGTACTTGGGGTTTAAAGCACTGAGCATGTCTCTATAAACACAAAAACAAACATGACATAACGTTACTGTTAGTGTGAGTCGCTAACAAGTTAGCTAAACTGTTTTCTTACCTGAATGTCGGTGCTTCAGCTTCTGAGAAGGGATGCAGCCTTTTCACCACATGAGTCGTGACTTTTCTGTGGCACTCCTCAACTTCCTCCTGTGACAACTTTCCCTTCGCCGCTAAGGTGAAGGGAGTTTCACGTTGTGGGACCAGCTTGTTAGCTTGAGCAGTAATGTTAGGCCGTAAACTCTGCGACTGCGAGCTTTCATCTATAAAAACACATTTGACACAGTTGCTTTATTAAATTTCGAAACTAAACAAACGTTATTTAAATGTTCAATAAAAATTCACTGAACTTACCCGACTGCGAGGGCTCCGACGAGGAGGTGCTGGCTGTTGGCTGAGCCGGGCTGACGGAGGAGGACGAGGCTTGTGAGGAGGAGGGAGGCTGGCGCAACATGTCGAGCACAGTACATTATTTGATTTGTATACCGTGCTGCTGGCGAAGATGTTTTGCCATATTCGTGGTGCGTCCTCCATTGCATGAAATACGTTTGTCACAGGTGTTGCACTGTGCCAAACAGTCATCCATTTTGACACAATGAAGCCACACTTTAGAGCGCCTGCTGCGCTCCATGATGGCAAACAGCTTACATTATACAGGTTCGTATCGTGTTTTCAACAAAGAAAATATCCGTGTGCAGTCCAAAAAGAGTGGCGTGCCGTGAGAAGCTGGGGATAGATGCAGCTGCACGTGCGTTTTTAACAGAAACGAGTGTGTGCGGCGAGGGACAATTTTTAGGAATCGAAAAGCAGAACTGAAATTAAAATTTCTTAATGATTCAGGTGGAACCGAAAACTCGGAACCAGTTCTAATTTGGAACCGGTTCTCGGGACCCAACCCTAGCTTTAATGCTCATTAATCGAGACTAAACATGTTTTAAAAACAGACTTAACCATTTGTGAACTTATCCTCTTGCCTGAATTAGGAAAACTCAACTTTTTATAAAAAGCAGAATTATTGTAGTTTTTAAAAAAATCTAAAATCAGCAGTGCAGCATCAATGAAAAGTGTAAAAGGGCACTGAAACCTTTACCTTCAGACAGACGTTCTTTCCGAAGGTGACATCGCCGGACACAGTGAGGTGGTCGAGCTCCAACATGTCCGGGATGCTCTCGAACCTGGTCAGAAAATCCTGAACCTGCACAACAAACAACATCAGAATCATCACTGGATATTCTTCCTCTTATTGATTTCTGATCTACGACAAAAACAGTGTCGGCACTTTAAAAAAAGAATCCAACTTGAACCCTTTGACAGTGACGAGAAAATTATTGTGATCTCACAATAAATGACTTCATCAAATTCATTATGTTGAGTTCAGTTTATCCCAAGATGACAAAGAAAAACCTTTTTGTTACTTGCAAAAAAACAACATGTTTGTTTCTTTAGATAAATATCCTGTTATCTTACAGAATAATTATCTTGTTATTTCGACAAAAAACTATGTTTTTTTTTTATGTTGTTGGTTTTTTTTTTTTTTTTTCTGAAAATATCATTAAAAATAACTTTGCTTCCCTAAAATAACGAGACAATTAGACCACTATCACAAGAAAACAAACATTTCTACCTCAAGATGACGATTATAATTATCAGGTATGAGAAATTTATCCCAAAGAAATATTTTTAACTTCTTTTAGATGATAAGATTTATGTCATCATTAAAAGATGATTGTTATCTCATTATCTTGAATTCAGGAAGTTATACCTTTATCTTAAGATAATTAAATAACAGAATAATTTTCTCATCTAAAAAAAAACTGTTCTTGAAATGATTTTTTGAACTTATAAAGATAACAACAAAATTATTCCATTATCATGAAAAACTAACTGCTTTCCTAAAATAACGACACAAACCATTATCTCTACATCAAGATAACAAGATAATTATGAGGTAAGAGAGAACAGGATGTTTATCTCAAAAAACTAACTTTTTGTTTTCCAAGATAACAAGAAAATTATTACTTGAACTCCTGATTTAAAAATAACGTCTGCTTTTGGCCTCCGTATAAAAGAAACTGATAAAAGAAGTGAAGTTGACAGCAGTGATATTTAAATGTTTCCCTGCTCGTGTTTTCCAGTCGTCGCTGACCTTGGTGAAGGAGCTGCCCAGCTTGACATGCGGCGTGGTGGGGAACTCTCTCTTCTTGCTCATGGTGAGCGAGCCGGCGTCCAGGCTGTACAGATTGGACATCACCAGCAGCAGGTCGGACGACGTCTTCACCGGCAGGAAGCGGCTACGGGGGACGTTCACACCCATGGCGTTGTTGAAGCTCTTGATGGCAGCACCTACGGCTGTCTCCAGCTGGATGACGTTCAAACCGCCGTCCAACGTCTGCAGAGACATTCAGGGGTTTGGGGTTAAGAGTAGGAAAAGGCAGCATCTGTACCGTGCAGTGAGAACATTCTGAAGGCCTCAAGGCTGTAAAGAAAGAAAAGTTAATTATTCATGTCCGTCACCTTTGGGTTGACGATGATCTCCAGGTCCATGGCGTTCTTCTCGTGCAGCCTCTTGATGGCGGGCAGAGAGATCCACAGGTTGTTGGTGTTGAAGATCTTAAACTTGGTGACGGACTTGAACTCATCGACGTGGGCCTTCGGCACCTGCGCGATCTCCAGCAGCCTCAGGTGATCCTCGTACTGGATCAGCGTACCGCCCTGCAGAGAGGAGGACACAGAAAGCACAGAGACTGAGCAGAACCTCATCTCATCTTGCCAAGATCACCACGTAAATGAAAACCTGCACTGACCTTGACGTCAGCTCTGGTCTTGTCTGTGACCTCCATGATGAACTCGCAGCGTCTGTCGGCCGGCTGGCTCATCAGGTGGTGGAGGATGAAGAGGTCGACGGTGGCGCCCAGGTTGTCGATGTTGGACACGAAGATGTACTCCTTCCCCTCAGCGAGGAGTTTGTCCAGCACGCCGCTGTTGGAGAAGCTGGCATAGATGTCTCCGTGACCCGGCGGGTACCATGCCTCCCCGTTCTCTCCGCTCATCCCCATGTTTTTGGCGATCGGCAGCAGTGACTCCTTGTTGATCCTCGGATACCTGCGAGGAAAATAATTGATCACTGTGGTAAAAAAACAAAAAGGTACAGATGTTGCATGAGAAGAATTAAGATACTTAAAGGGACAATTATTTATGTCGCACCAAACTATGATTTAACAGGAATGTACATCCGTGTGTTTGCAAAAGGAACTTTTGTAGAATTTTACAATTTTAGCCCAGATTCCAGAAGATTTATATTCTAAAACCACTAACAGAGCTAAGTCTCAAACCCCAAATTTTCATGGTACCAAACTTAATGTAAGTATCAAAAAACTGTCAAATATTCTTGGCCATGTCTGGTCAGATTTATAATCATCTTGTTCTTTCATCACATAGTTCCTGATTTAATTCCTAATTTTAGACTTCATGTTAGTTTAAGTTCTTGTACAGCTGCTTCTGTTTAAACATTTAACATTTGAGAAGTTTGTCTTCTTTTGTTAAATGAAGAAAATGTTTTGCAGAAAAAGATGTTTGTTTATCAAAGTGAGCTACCTATAAAACTAGAATTTGAAATCTGAAGAAAATCCCTTGAGGCGTTCTTGAGATATCACGTTCACAAGGATGAGACGTATGGACGTACTGACGGACAGCCTGAAAACATAATGCCATAAGAAGTATCATTTTAGTATTAGTGCTTAAGACACTGTGTGGAAAGATGTTATACTGTATTGAACCCTGGTTACTACTCTCGGTTTGTTAAGATTTTAAATACAATATATCATTTAACAAAACACTTTGTTAATGTTTTCTGGATTAAGATGAAATGCACTGTTCCTGCTGTTTTTACAGGGTTTCAACACTTTTTTTTTTTAACATTAAAATGAAATAATTTCCACTGTTCTGTCATCAAAACACTGCTCCACCTTCCTCTGTAACAAATGCGTATTTCCCAGGAGGCCACTGACAGTTACTGGAAGAGCAATGGTAATTCTAACGGTAAAATACTTCACCTGAAACAAATGAACACACCTCCTGGCTGCAGTCAAATATAGTTACTGTAGTGAGCCGCACTTCACCACTGCCTCCTGTTTTTTCAGTGTAATGGGACTGACTGTTTCTTTAAATATGGACATACAAACATCGATGTTATAATATTTTACCATTTATACTTCCACAATATATTTAGGCGAGTTTGCACTTCTCTCTTTGAGTTCACTGTGTGCTCTGTGTATCATCATATATCATTGATCCAAGTCAGATGTTAAGTTCTTGTGGCCACAGTGTGTTGTTGGTGATGTCTGTGTCTTCGTTTATGTGTTAGTAATAAAATTACTGTTCAAAAAGATGACTTGCACGTACTTCATACTAACACAATGAACACAGACCAGCATGTTCACGTCTTTACAAGTCAGTGTCGTTACAATTTAAGACACAAGATGAGAAATACTGGTAACTGTAAAAACTCAGTATGTTTAGATAAGTCATAGTACACAGTATGTCGATAAAGAGTCATAGTATAGTATGTCGAAACAAAAGTCATAGTATAGTATGCCGAAAAGAGTCATAGTACAGGATGTCGTAAAAAAAATCATAGTATAGTATGTAAAAAAAAATTAAATCATAGTATAGCATGTCAGGAGAAAAAAAGTCAGTATAGCATGTCGGAAAAAGTGATAGTAGAGCATGTTGAAAAAGAGTCATAGTAGAGCATATTGAAAAAGAGTCATAGTATAGTATGTTGAAAAAGAGTCATAGTATAGCATGTCGGAAAAAAAGTCATAGTATAGTATGTGGAAAACAAGTCATAGTATAGCATGTCGGAAAAACAAGTCATAGTATAGCATGTCGAAAAAAGTCATAGTATAGTATGTGGAAAAAAGTCATAGTATAGTATGTGGAAAACAAGTCATAGTATAGCATGTCGAAAAAAGTCATAGTATAGTATGTGGAAAAAAGTCATAGTATAGTATGTCGAAAAAAGTCATAGTATAGTATGTGGAAAACAAGTCATAGTATAGCATGTCGAAAAAAGTCATAGTATAGTATGTGGAAAACAAGTCATAGTATAGCATGTCGAAAAAAGTCATAGTATAGTATGTCGAAAAAAGTGATAGTAGAGCATGTTGAAAAAAGTCATAGCATAGTATGTTGAAAAAGAGTCATAGTATAGTATGTTGAAAAAGTCATAGTGTAGCATGTCGAAAAAAGTGATAGTAGAGCATGTCAAAAAAAGTCATAGTATAGCATGTTGAAAAAAGTGATAGTAGAGCATGTTGAAAAAAGTCATAGTATAGTATGTTGAAAAAGAGTCATAGTATAGCATGTCGAAAAAAGTGATAGTAGAGCATGTTGAAAAAAGTCATAGTATAGTATGTTGAAAAAGAGTCATAGTATAGCATGTCGGAAAAAAAAGTCATAGTATAGTATGTGGAAAAAAGTCATAGTATAGTATGTCGAAAAAACTCATAGTATAGTATGTGGAAAACAAGTCATAGTATAGCATGTCGAAAAAAGTCATAGTATAGTATGTCGAAAAAAGTGATAGTAGAGCATGTTGAAAAAAGTCATAGCATAGTATGTTGAAAAAGAGTCATAGTATAGTATGTTGAAAAAGTCATAGTGTAGCATGTCGAAAAAAGTGATAGTAGAGCATGTCAAAAAAAGTCATAGTATAGCATGTTGAAAAAAGTGATAGTAGAGCATGTTGAAAAAAGTCATAGTATAGTATGTTGAAAAAGAGTCATAGTATAGCATGTCGAAAAAAGTGATAGTAGAGCATGTTGAAAAAAGTCATAGTATAGTATGTTGAAAAAGAGTCATAGTATAGCATGTCGGAAAAACAAGTCATAGTATAGTATGTGGAAAACAAGTCATTGTATAGCATGTCGAAAAAAGTCATAGTATAGCATGTCGAAAAAAGTCATAGTAAAGTATGCTGAAAAAGAGTCATAGTATAGCATGTCGGAAAAACAAGTCATAGTATAGTATGCTGAAAAAGAGTCATAGTATAGCATGTCGGAAAAACAAGTCATAGTATAGTATGTGGAAAACAAGTCATTGTATAGCATGTCGAAAAAAGTCATAGTATAGCATGTCGAAAAAAGTCATAGTCAAGTATGCTGAAAAAAAGTCATAGTATAGCATGTCGGAAAAACAAGTCATAGTATAGTATGTGGAAAAAAGTCATAGTATAGTATAGTATGTGGAAAACAAGTCATAGTATAGGATGTCAGTGGGGCGCCAGTTAGCATTAACAAAGGCTTTGTCCATGCTGCAGCAGCCGTTGGTTTGATTCCAACCTATGGCCTTTTGCTGCATGTCATCGCCTCTCTCTTTCCCCCTTTCACGCTAACAACTGTTCCATCAATTAATAGCAGAAAAAAACCCTTAAAAAAATACACAGTATAGTATAGTTTATCGAGAAGTCATCAAATGGTATGTTAAAAAAAGTCACAGTATAGTATGTTGTAAAAAGTAATAGTAAAGAGACTCAGTATTGTATGTTCAAAAACAGTCAGTGCAGTATGTCACAAAACCTGTTAAAAAATATAGTATAATATGTTGGAAAAAAGTCAAAGTATAGTATGTCGAAACTAGAATTACGCTTTGGGGTTGTATGCCTCCACACACCAGTTGCACTTACAGTTTACATCCACGTCAGTGAAAACATGGATGCTTCACACACGTTTTCCCCTCGACAGCACAGAAGATCTATACAGTGAGCACAGTTTCAAGGTGGACTCAAACTCAAATGAGATGGACACAAGGTCACACCAAAGTCTAATCAGTTCATTCTTGAGTCCAAGTATATGTTTGTGCCAAATTTGAAGACATTCCCTTCAGGTATTCTTGAGATATTGTGTTAATGAGAAAGAGATGGATACAAGGTCACGGATGACCTTGACATTTGACCTTTGTGTGTGTGTGTGTGTGTGTGTGTGTGTGTGTGTGTGCGTGCTCTACCTGCTCTGGTTGAAGGTGTGGATCTTGACACGGTGGTGTTTGTATTTCTGCAGGATCTTGTTTGTGTCTTCGTCAGTGTTGAAGGAGTTCATGAGAACGAGCGGCACTTCTGCGTTAAAGGTTTTGTTCAGATGCTGAAAACAACAACAGAAACACAGAGTTCAGTTCAGCCTGGTGCGAAGGTTCAAAGGTTCAGAGCTGCTTGTTGTGACGTTTTGTGAGTCTCTACCTCGATCTGCTGGACGGTCAGGTCCAGGAAGGTGTTCTCGTTGCGGACGCTGATCAGACTCTTGGGACCCTTACAGCCCATACTAGTTCCCAGACCGCCGTTCAGTTTGACCACAGCGAGCTTGTTGAGGCTGGCGGTGATGTTGTCAGGAAGACCTTTCATCTTGATCTTCTCGTACGGCTGGATCTGAGCAGAGACATAATTAAAGGGACATTACGTCAGGTTTTGACTGGGTAGAACAGAGTATCACAACATGTGTGTGTCGACAGGTAACATGCCTGTGCCTTCCCCTCTTTCAGTACACTAGGACGCCAGCATCCTCAGCTGACACCACGACGTCTTTCAGAGGTAGCAGAAGTTAAGAGGAACTCAGCCATCCACTGGTACCTACCATGTCCTGCTATCTTGTCGGGAAGGTGGTTAAATAATGCTCGAAAGGTGGGCTAAATTTTGTCGAGGGAAAAACTGACATGGTCACTTTCACAGAGGTCCCTGAACCTCTCACCTCAAGATATGTGAAATTAAAATGGTTTCTATGGATACCCACCAGTCCCCTCTTTACAGACATACCCGTTTTATGGTCCTGTGCTGTTTTTGGCAAAAACTGCAGACTTTCAAGAGCACGGCAGCGTTTGCGTCTAAGTTGCTAAGCAACCTTAACAAGCACTGCTTCATAATCTATTTACCCAAAATCCTGAGAGCAGAGTTGATCTTCTTCCAGGAGCTGTCTATAAGTGTGTAGGCCTGTTGTATGTGGGACAGATGTAAAGCTCTGACAGCTCTGCACTAACATGATCAACTTCTCCTCCATATTTATCACAGACTGGATATTTACGGAAGAAGGGAAAGATATCTGTCGGCTGTGATTGGTCATTCCTCGTCACATGACATGCGTTGCGCGCTGCTGTGTTCCAAAAGTTGGGGCGCAGCCGTGGCACCCTGAAAAATAGGTGCTTGGGAACGAGTGCACACCGCGACAACATCACTCTGGGGTAGCTCTGGTGTTTGAGCTCGACGGTGTGTCTATATTGAAAACAATGAATTTGAGGGTGCAATAAACGCAGCATGTGTACAGCACCTCGTCATTGTTACAGAGAACGTTTCCACCTGCACATGTTCCTGCTCAATTTCAAGTTATCTTCTTACTGTGCACGTCATGTTTGGATGTAGTATAACATGTTTACCTATCTAAACAGGTAAAACGATGAGGTTTCACTTTAAAGACTTGTCTTCTGTCTGCTGTGCCTGCATCCCTGACCATATCTGAGTCTGTCTTTTTTAGTAACCTGTTCCCCAAAATGTTTTTGTATTACTAATCAATGCACACAAAAACACTCCACTCATTCACACCTGCAAACACATGCATAGATTTAAAAGTGCTGCAGTTTGACAAGATGAATATTAGCTTCCTGCTTCTGTCTGACAGTCTGAATCCAAATGAATGATGCAGCAAAGCTTTGACATCAGAAGTTAGACCTAAACACAAGCTAACTTTATCTACTGAAGCCACGAGAGCAGAAGCACTTTAGTGAATTGAATGATGTCGGGATATTCTCTGGTGAATGAATTTCCTGCCTGCCAAACACATTTACACTTATAAAAGACAAAATATATGTTTAACCGTGTCCTCAGGGGGTAACTGACATTATGCACTGAGGAAATCTGCAGGTAAACAGGAACAGACTGAGGTCGAGGTCAGACTGAGAGCAAACAGTTTGCTTTACAGAGCAGACAGCAGACTGTTAGGCAACGACACAACCTTATTTTACCCTGATTGCCAACCAGTGTTAACACAGCTGGAGGACAGTGGCTTAATATTACACACAGTGAAATATATTTAAAAAAATATCTACTTCATCATTAAACAGTTCTGACATGGAAGTGTTTTTATGCTGTCACGACTTCAGGAACCTCGTTTTCCTTTCAGAGTGACCAAAACATGTAACTTCACATGTTGAAACGTGAAGCCTGAAATAACTTACTAAGTAATACTAAAGAAGGATCAAAAGACAAGTTGATAAAATCATGTACAGATGCTACAATAAAAAGAAAAGAAACTGAAGGGACAGATGGAAATCAACACATACTGACCCAAAGTCCAGACAGTTGGGACACTATGTTAAACAGAATGCAATGATTTGCAAATTCTTTTTAACCTATATTCAACTGAGTACAGTATGAAGACGAGATATTAAACATTCAAACTCATAAACTTTATTGTTTTGTTGTATCATTCTGAGTTTGATGCTGCAAAGGAGCAACCTCGAAAGTAGTAAGGCCAAAGAATTTAGGGATTCCACATCTACAACTGATAATATCATCAAAGGATTCAGAGAATCTGGAGAAATCTCTGCATGTAAGAGGCCAAGGCTGAAAACCATCACTAAACCTCCGTGACCTTCGACCCCTCAGGCAGTCTCGCGTGACCAGCCTCCCTTACTCCAGAATGGGAGTCTGGGGACATTTGTCTTTTGTTTTGTAATAGAAATGAACAGGGATATCCAGACCACGTGACGGCGTTGCCATAGGTTCAGCACGTGTGTTACATGTAACAGAGACATTGCAGCTCTGCAATAGAGCTGAATCAAATGAAATCATATCTATTTTAATCTCTTGTTGCGATGCACTGAACACTTCCTTTTCTGTTGTACTACGGACAACAATTTGGGAAACAGCAATTCCGGTGTAGGCGGGTGTAAGGCAAAGCTAATCAGCCGTTGGTCGAGGAAGTACGGAAGTACATGGATTTGGATCCAATCACATCACTGCCGCTGGGAGCCAGAGCTAGTTCTATTACAACTTTCCTATGGGAATGTCCACAGACGACAGAGTCAGCCAGCGTGCTGACGTCATCGGCGTCTGTGTAAGAGACTGCACCTCAGGCTGCACTACATTAGAAACCACAACTGTCTAACAGGAGACACTGTCTCACGTCCTCCAAACTAGAGTGGGACATTATCTGACAGAGGACAAGAGGCTGCTGTCTCACGTCCTCCAAACTAGAGCAGGACATTATCCGACAGAGGACAGGAGACACTGTCTCACGTTCTCCAAACTAGAGCGGGACATTATCTGACAGAGGACAGGAGACACTGTCTCAGGACACCAAAGTCACAGCAGAGCAAACACTGCAGACCTCCTGTAACAGACAACACGTCTAACATGTGTGTTGTCATTCAGTCAGCAGGACACCTGCATGAGAAGTGTCCAGGTGCTTCATCTGTCCTCTCAGAGGGCGTTTAATCTGCCCACAGTTCAGTCTGTCAGGTGTATGCAGCATTTCTGACAGGTGTTATGACGGTGTTGGTCAGTCTGTCTGCTCTGTGTCACATTCTGCTGCAATAAAAATGATTGAAGTCGATGAACAGACTGAAAACTGTGTCTTAGGAGGTAAAACTGATGCTGACAAAGTTTTCCTTTAGGAATAATTTGCAGTTGGAAAAAAAGGTAATACATCGCAATAATATCATGTCATGACCAAAGTATTGTGATACTATCGTATTGTGAGCCCTTGGCGATTACACCTCTATCATTTATTGATTCATTCATTTATTTTCATAGTAAAAGGATAATATATGCAACCAAAATTCTGGTAAACAGCAGCATGAATTAGGGTTGTGTGATATGACGATATATATATCGTGTGACGAGAGAATAATGTCTGTCGTTTCATATTTTGCTCTATCGTTGATATCGTTATGACGCAAATTACACTTTTTACGGCAATATTTTTCGTCATTTGGAGTCTGTCCATCTTTTGCACGGATCACACTGATTAATTACTCTTGGCTTTTTACTTCACGAAGCTTTTACGGCACTTACAGTCACATAACGAGTTTATAACTTTTATTCATTGGATTAAAATGTGCTATATCGTGATATGAGATTTTGGTCATATCACCCAGCCCTAGCATGACTCAAATAAAAGTGATACAAATACATATAAAGATCATTAAATGGGAGTAACTGGTTACTAAACATAACGACAGCTCCTTTTTCAGCCGCAGAGAGGGACGTGTCCCAAAGCCTGCCGCTGTGTTTACACCCTGCACCTTAATGTAGCTTCATTCAGCTGTGAAAGTGACTACAAACGTACACTCTGTGTGACACTGAGTGGGAGTGTGCAGGGTCCGGTTTAGAAAGGCCCCATCAGACTTTCGAATGCTGCGGCGGTCAGACTATTCTTAGTCCTAACCTTCACTCAGCTCGAGTATTTTGGGAACACTGAGGGGTGGAAAGCGTGTGTGTGTGTGTGTGTGTGTGTGTGTGTGAGTGAAATGTCAGCATGCTGATAAATAGCTGGCTTTAGGCTGAATGTTCTCTGTACTCAGATCTGGTTACGTTAGCTTGTTTCTGAAGCAGGAACAGTCCTACGTTCAGTCAGATGATAAAATGGATCATCTTCATCTCTGCGGTGCACATTTTGATTCATAGCTCAGCTCACTGACAGCACAGCTCCAGATGAACTGCTTTAATTACATTTCCTACAACAGCTGCGTTCTTTTCGTTCATTCACTACACTCCGTTTTACGAGCGATGGTGGGAACGGATACGTCTTTAGATACGCAGCAAAGGCTCTTTGTGTCTTCTCCTGTTTCTGATGCTGTTGGAGATTGTTGAGCGTGAAGGCAATATTGAAGTCATTAAAGACAGACTCTCAGGTGCCTTCTCCTCAATAACACACACCTAGCTAAGCCAGTACCCTGCAGACATTTATGCACAAAGCATTCCCTCTTGTGGAGTATTTCACCGCAGGTAGGACGGTCTTAATAAAACTGGGCTGTCGCTGCAGCAGGAAGTGGTGCTACATGGTGAGAGAAAACAGAGGGAAAGGACTGTGACATCTGTTTTTGCTCAAGAGGTAGAAAACCTATAACTACCAGAATGCACTGCGCCTCACCGGACCAGTAAACATTGGGCGACAACGCTATGTGAACTCGTCAGTTTGACACAATGGCGGCCGGATGGTAACAAATGATCCTGTATTACAGTTAAATATGTTTCTAAAGACATCTGAGGAGAGAAATGAGCGATGCTGTGACAGAATCTTCGTTTATATTCGATCAGTGCTGCTTAGCTTTACGGTTTGATCTCAGTTTTTTTGGCCTCCATTTTCACTGTGCAGGAAACAGTATGACACCTACTTCCTGTTCACAAACTTTCCCTATTACAGCTAAACAGGGCAC